TGTCAGAATCCTTGTGAAATACAGCCATACTTAAGAACACATGGTTTAAGCAAATTTGATGAATGCGAACGCATTAGTGTAAATGGGGCCATAGTAGTGACCTGATCTTATATGCTATTGTTTTAGAACCTCCAATTTAGTTGCCTATTGGAGAAATGACCTGGAATAATACATGGCTACTTGCTCTACAAACAAATGTGTTCATGACTATTCATACAAAGAAAAATAATAAAATGAGAAAATATGACTTTGCAACATCAAGCAGCATTAGGCATGGGCCAGTATAAGATTCTGACTGTATGATAAGCTTGGATAAAAAGATCACGGTTTCACTGTATTGTGATTACTGCTCTAAAATATATTATTTTTAATGTCTGGGTAAAAAAAACAAGAACCTTTTCCCTTTGAACAAAATATATTTTCTTTTGAGAAACTTTGAGGCTCAGTTTCACAAACAGGGCTTAGATTAAGCTAAGACTAGTCCTTAGTTAAATTAGGCTATTTAAGCCAAAATTTATAAAAATGGCCTTAGTAAAATATATTACTGGTGTGCACCTGGAGAAAAAAAAATAAACTCATGTATTTTATCTCACAGAAAGTTATTTTGAGTTAAGACCGCTCAAACATACAATTTAATCTTGATTAGCCTTAAACCTTGTTTGTGAAACCGGGGAGAAAGTATTATGGAGCAGTAAACATGTCAGGCTGAATCATTCAAATGAATCATTTGTTTCAGAAACACAGATTTCTTTACAATTTAAAATGGCATCTATGGATATCTTTTTTTGCTGCAGATACTGTTGTCCTGAAAAACTTATAACAAAATGTAAAAAAAAAAAAACTTACATATACTGTTGTACTGTGGTATACCTTGAAAATGGTTACCTAAGCATACCTAAGCAGAATAACCCTGTTTTAAGGATCTAAAAATAAATTCTTTAAAAAAAAGTCTCAAGCAAAAAGATTCCAATGGCGACGCCTGCTGGTACATGAAGAATTTGGTCAATACTGACGAACTTCACACTCTAATGTTTGCATATCATCAGCATGCTGTAATCCATTTCTTAAGCAGAAAAAGCCATTTTTAGACTAGTTTGTTGGCCAGTTGCAGTCAGTGCAATGCTAAACGTTATTGTTCCACTATAATTAGTTTGTTTTGTCTCACGTCATCCCACAGCAACATATTATAGCTTAGAATACTGTACAATGTTTTATAACAATTATTGTAGTGTCCATTTCATTCAGCTTATTTAATATTGGGGCGTCCACATCATTTGACAAACTGTAAACCAGGGTTTCTGCAGGTTTCTTTTTATGAAATTTTTAAGACCATTATGAATGAAATTTTAGACCCATAAAGGGCTAAAGCTAAATAATTTTTCAAATGGTCCAGATGGAAAAGATTTTTATTTGCCCCATTAAAGAATAAATGAAAAAATTTATTATATATATTACAAGAATAAATAAATAATAATTCTTTATATGTATTTTAGATATTTGTAGCGAAAGATTTGAAATTTTGTTTGATTTTGGATCTTAAGACATTTTATGACGCCGTGGAAACCCTGTTTAAACACAATAGCCCTGGTAATTAGTTAGTATAATAATGATGTAGTTCTAACTCAGACACTATCTGTAAGACCTAGTAACAACAACTACAAATAAGTTTAAACTCATAAAGAAGTTGATGAAAAAAGGGAATTGTGATCGACTTGACGTATGCAAATGGAAAGTACTAAGCCAACACTATCACTGCAATAGCAGATATCTTTTATGAGAACACTGTCAGTCAAATATCGTCAGCTCAGTTAAACCTTTTAAATTTATTTTATAAAGCGCCGGTGCTCAAGGATGCTTCACAAACAGCAGGAGAACAAGAAAAGCAATAACCTTAAGAAAGTAGAGAAAATGGGAGACTAATAATACTTAAAAATAATGACAAAAGACACGAGAAAAAGTAACAAGAAAGAAACTCATTCCTGTCTTTCAATGAGTGCTTATGTGCATTTAGGAGAACTAGGCAGCACACTCAGGGCTGCAAGATGGATTTAATTTAGTATTTTTATTATTAAAATATATCTGAATGAGGATCAAATGACTGAGTTGGTGTTTGAGAATGAAAACCAACCTGTTTGTTCCTGCAGATCTTCCTGTTTGACTGTGAATGTTTCTTCAATCTTCACATCTTCACTCTCCTCTTTAATAAACGCCATCTTTATAATAGTGTGGAGATCAGTCGCTTCAGCAGGAGTTTTTCTCTGTGTTTGGACACTTTATCCTGTTTAAAATGAACAAAACAATAAAAATTTCCTGTTTAAAATAAATAAAACAATGAAGCAAAATAACTTCTCTTCAACAGTTTATTTTAACGAGCGTAATTAACAAAAAGAAATCGGGTAAAACGTTTCATCAAAACACTTATTACACACTTTTCTGTTACATTATTCAAACAATAGCCCTTGATTATTGAGAATAAAATAGTACTACGTTGTATAAAAGGTTAAAATAATATTTCCAACAGCAGGAATATAATTTAGCACCATATATAAAAAACCTAAAACTTTAGAACTTTAACTTTAAATCGGGTTATATCTGTAAAACTTTTAAAGCAAACCTTTCTCCAGTTGAATCACCACGCTGTAGCGGCGCCGCCTGATGACGTCATCAGCCACGCCAAAATAAAAGTCTTTTTTGTTAAGCTTTTTTGCTACTCTAGGCAAGGCAAACTTTATTTATAGAGCACAATTTTACACAACCGTAGTTGATCCAAGTACTTTATATTAAATAAACTACACAATAAAATTAAAAAACTAGTATTAAAAATACAAGAAAATGTATGTTTAAAAGTAATATTAAAATACAAATAAAAAATAACATGCATTTGTCACTCAAAGGCAAGAGAGTAAAAATAAGTCTTTAAGTTAAATTTGAAAGCAATCAATGAAGTAGCAATCCCAATGTTCAGAGGGAGACTGTTCAAGAGCCTTGAGGCCGCAACACAGAACACAGATAGCAAATTACATCTGGCCCAGATATGGCCCACATCCCCCATTTTCTTCTGGCCCACATACCGCGCGGAATGACGGCGATGACTCAACCTGATTGTGGCTGACATAAGGATCCAAAAGTCAGCCACAACTGAACCAGATCTGGGCCATATCTCAGAAAAAGCATGGTCCATATCTGGGCCAGATGTGGCCCATACATTTTCTCAGATCTGGCCCAGCTGCGGCCCATGCACATTCTCAAATCTGGCCCAGCTGCGGCCCATGCACTTTTTCAGATCTGGCCCACATGCAGCCCATGCAGTTTCTCAGATCTGGCCCAGACGCGGTCCATGCAATTTCACAGATCTGGCCCAGATCTGGTTCAGTTGCGGCTGACTTTTGGGTTAGACGTGGCTCACATCTACATTTGGTAGCTATATAAATCACATTAAAAGGAATGCTTAGTTTAAATTGCTTTATTTAAAAAAAAATGCTTTAAAGGAAGCATATAAATTGATAAATACAAATATATAATTTATATAAATTATATAAATAGATGCATACAAAAAAAAACAACAACAACAGATACAAACAGCAATACAAATAAATATATGAATTAGATAAATAAATGCATACAGAATTATCACAAATTAAATGCAAATAAATATATATAAAAGTTAAAATTAGGTAAGTGGATATACAGAATAAGAAGAACATACAAACACACATGTATATACAAATTAGATAAATAGATACAGAATAAACACAGAAAATATATATATATTTTTTTATATAATGCATATTAATTAAATTAACAAATATTTTATAACCATATAGCCAGAACCAATAATTAAAAAGATATATAAAGGGCAATCCAAAAACAAGATCAGAGGCGAGGCAGGGGTCAAATAAATAAATGATAATTACAGAAACAAGATAAACAAGTATGAGTAGACAGAACAAACACAGAAATCGCATATTTAACAAAAACATATTACTTAAATAATTACAACTAAATATTTATTAGCATATACCCAGAACCAAAAAAAAAAAATAAAAATAAATAAAACAAACTAAAAATCCAACAGGGCAGTCCAAGAGTGAGGTCAGGGGCAAGCAAGGGTCAAAGCCAAAAAAAAAAAAGTCCAATGCAAAACATCCTGAAAATAGGAGGACAACAATTAAAAGGTGCTGTTTGCAGAGTACATACAGGCACAACTCGATTAGACTTTTAAGCACTTTTTTAAGCACCTATTTTTATTTTTAAGACTGACAAGCAACGTATTGAACACCTGAAATGTATTCTCAGCAATACATAAAAACATTTCATATGAATGATATATTATATCGATTTATAAAAAAAAAAAATAATAATATTAATATAATATTTCATAGTATTAAACCTATTTTAAATGTGCTCGTGAAATTATTGTTTTTTTATGTTTTCGTAGATGGAATGAGAACTGAAAATTAAATTACATTAAATTAAAGGACTAGAAATACTATTATATTGCTAAAATAAAACAAATTTTAGTAAATAATACTAATACAGAGTAAAAGTACATGGTACTATTTTAGTTAGTTACATTTGAAAAAAAAATCGGATTTTCATTACGGACCTTTTTTTAAGTGTAAACTTGTTTGAATGGTTTAATTGTTTAATTACAAGACTACATAAAAAGAAATTTGCACTAACAAAGGAAGTTTATTTTAAGAAAATATATTTTCAAGCTTAGGAAGGTTTTACGTATATGATGAAAAGATGTAAAAATTTAAAATGTAGCCTTTTATTTACACATTTTACACGTTTTTTCTTGTTTGCTCATTCTGTGTCTGCCTTTACAATCTGGCAAATTTGTTGCTTAAATAACTTTTATAGTACTTGGATTTTTTTTACATAATTATAAACAAATTACTTTACAAAAAAATATATTTTAAAAATAATAAAACAAATGACTTCATTTCATTTGAGGTATTCGAAATATTTTTTTTACATTTTCTACATTTTTCAAAGCAGTGTTTTAAGAGCCTTATTGTTTATTTTGATAAATGTAACAACAGATTGCTTTGACCTGTAATGCCTGTACAATTTAGTGACGCTTTAAGACAGACTATGTATAAATCATACAAATACCTCATTCAAAAACGTTTCCAGCATACCAACCCCGTGACGTCAGACACAGCAATATTACAAGACGGGGGTGCCTTTGTGCTAAAAGCTTTAGTAAAAAATGCCCTTTTCATCAAAATTGTTACATTAATCAAGTTTGGTTATTATATTTTTATTAAATCGGAAACCTATTTACGAAATAATGTAAACTTGATTGACTGCATCACTTCTACTACAAGACACTGGGAAGAATTTTTGCTAGGCGATGTAGGAAGATCTGACACTCAAAGTTTACTCCATCAATTCATAGTCTGAAATCTTGGTAATTAGTGAAAGTACCTTTGAACTGACCGCAGATCTTGATGTGGTCTTTCTTGATCTGGTCTTCTCCACTTTCGATCCTTCCCTGGGTTCATCTTTACAAGGAACCTGCTGAATGGAAAAAAAATACTTAGTGATAAAAACCTGGACTATATCATGCTCTAAAATGTTTGAAATAAAAGCAGCGTAACAGGACAAGCTAGTGGTGGAGGTTTGCTAGAAAAATCTATGAGAGAGGATGTTGTGTGTGAGTCAGACTGAGACAGACTGTTTTATGAATGTGTGTTTTTGAGTGTATGAACGTGAGAATGCATTCACAAGAGTGTGTGTTAGTTTGGGGATTTTGCTATTTTAAATATTAGGGTCCAACAGAGTAATTTGTTTAGTTAAGTTGTTTAAAATTATTTTCATTGATTAAATACTTGCCCATATATAGATGTAAAGAATAACCAAAAGAAATAATGTATTAAAATGTCATTATATTTTATATTCAATCTGCTAATCATTTGTTGTGAAATTTGAATGACTTCCATTCAGTATATGAATAAAATAAAATTAGAATAAGAATAAAACAATAGAACTCTATAAAAAAATACTTCCTATCAAAATAAAGCAGGTGCTTTTACCTTAAGGAACTTTATTAGTATGGTTCCCTGCTTCCAGTTAGTTCAACTTCATATACCTCCATAATCTGTACTCTGGTGCTTCATTTGGTTCTTGACTTAAGAGTAACTGGTGTTGCATGCCAGGTCCATCACAATCTGAGCTAGAAGGACAATATGACAAAAGACAAGACAAATATGAATACACATAACATACAGAATAAAACATTTAAAGATATAGTTTACTATTCTGCCACCATTTATTCATCCTCTACTTGTTTCAAAGCAGTTTGAATCTGTTCAACACTAAAGCAGATATTTTGAAGAATGTTAGAAACCTGTAACTATTGATATACATAGTAGGAAAAACTGGGTTTGTGTTCATTCATTTTCTTTTTAGCTTCATCCCTTTATTAATTTGGGGTCACCACAGTGGAATGAACAGCCAACTTATCCAGCATATGTTTTACACAGCAGATACTCTTCCAGCTGCAACACATCACTGGGAAAAACCCATACACTCTCATTTACACACATTTACTATGGACAATTTAGCTTACCCAATTCATCTGTATCGCATGTCTTGTGGGGGAAACCGGAGCACCCGGAGGAGACCCACGCCAACACGGGGAGAACATACAAACTTCACACAGAAATGCCAACTGACCCAGCCGAGGCTCGAACCAGAAACATTTTTGCTGGGAGGCAACAGAGCTATCCACTGTACCACCGCACCGTCTGAGTTTATGTTCAACAGAACAAAAAAATATTTTGAAACAAGTGGAGGATAAAAGATGTCATTATTATGTCATTATTAGATTTTTTAAATAAGCTATGACCTCACACAGTGATAAAATAGCACCAATAAATCTTGTAATATTTTAATAATAAATAAAACAAAAAATATATTATTTCAGTTCCCAACAACCAGTCTGACATATACAAGTTACAAAATATGTTCAATATTGTACCTGGTGTGCTTGATGATGAAGTCAAACAATTAGTAATGCACTGATGTGAGAGTTGTCCTTTCCTTCAGCTTGCATCCTTGCATGATTGCTTTCTTTTCTGTAACAAATTAATACATTACAATCAATTTATAAAAATATTATTTTTACTTGCCACAAAACCATTTGTTTGGACTTTTAAGCTTATTTAACACAATTGATTTTATTTTTTAACAAGGTTTAATATTTCATAACACACTTAGCCTTCTTTTTTAGCTAATTAATTTCCTTCATAAGTCATTTAACACATCATGTTTCAACTGTGGATTTTTTTCAAACGTTTTGGCTTTAAAAATGTTTTTAATGCAGACAAGTCTCAACAGTGGCCAGCATGAACCACATAACGTTACTCTGCAAACTTTTGCTGAAACTTGATAAAACACACATTAACAAGCAAATCAAGATCATTAGGGTTAACGTTACCAAAAAGAGACTGTTCGTTCAGTGTTTGAGCTAAAACCAGTACAAAAGCAGAACTCGGCACCTATTACAACTGTATAAAACGGACAGCATATGATTCATTCATTCAAGCTCCCGTTTCGACGCTGTTCTTCATATAACACGTCTTATTGATCATTTTAATTGTAACTTAAATGAATTTGTTAAAACCCCGAGCACAATCAACTTAACAGATTACTGAACTGACGGCGGCCATCATTCTTAGCCGTTTTAGCCATATTATCCACATATAAGTTAGTTTATGACTATTCAAAACAGGGGCTTTTCTAACAAATAAAAACATTACCTGACGACATATCTCACAAATATGATTTTAAAATAATAACTTACCCGATATAAAGAAGAAGATGAAATGGCGGACTTGACTTCACTTCCGTTTGAAAAAAATAACCGTCATTCACGAGGCTCCGCCCACTCCACCGTAATGCAAGGATAAAGCGAAACACATATTCGCCACCAGGGGGCAGTTTATGATTATGTTTTTAAATATATATATATAATATTATATATATTAGGGTAAGGGTATAGGCAAGTCCCAGACAGCACACATACGTTGGGCCGACGTCGGCCGAAGGTCAACACGTCGGCCCCTTTAATTCTAACATCGGTATATGGTCGGCCAAACATACGCATGATCGTTCGGTCGTGTGTTCTATTGTTCCAGCTCAACAAACGTCGGCTCTGCGTCGGTTAACGACCAGAGGCCGACGAAGCACTTCATAAGTACTTGATCTCTCATGCCCATGAAAGAATCCGGCAACATATTTGGTTTACAAGTAAGTTTTTGCGTGCATAATAAATTAGACAAACGCGAGATGCATCATGTCTACTGCGTCGGTCGGTCCAGCTTTAAATAGCCTACATTAATGCAGTAAAACTGACCAAAATGCCTACAATACATGATTTCAATTCATTAAAATATAAAAAGTTTTATTGTTATGCTTTAATAATGAAAACGTTGTTTTTTTCTGGTGTTAACTGCTGTTTGCTTTTTTTTATTGTGGCTTTTTCTAATACATTTATCCCAGTGTAAAAATTAAGTATGTTCTGCATTTCGGCTGTTTAATTAAAATAAACACCTTTTTACAGAGTGACATCTTTGTTTTATATATACTTGCATTTATATTTATTGGTTATTTATTTTTGACAGTGAATGCACAAATAAAGTGTTTGTTTTGTAACAGTTTAGTAGGCTATAAAGCTCGTCTTAAAGATAATAGCGTATATAAAACTGCTAAATACATTTTAAATTCAAGATATAAAATACAAGGTTATTATTTAAATTGTCTATGGAGTGATCATGTTTATAAATGTAATACTGCAAGACTTTAATGTGCGCGCGCGCGTCTTGCTTCCAACACTGGAGCGGAGATGTTGCTATGGGAAACGAAGCTACAACACGACACGACACCACCTAAAAGACACAACACGACTTCTCTCAAGCTGCCGTTTTGACTGTTTTCAGGTAAGTTTAGTCCCTAAAACAAAGCAATTACTAAATAAAACTGTTCCTCACACATTTATTATTGGCAATTGATGAATATTCAGTTGAATATTATGTTATATAAGAGTGGTAAGTCTTCGTAAAAGTCCGTTAGCATATTAGCACTGGTAACGTTAGCGTCGGGGTAATATTACGTTAACTTACTTAATGTTAGCTCTTGTTAAACTTGTTTGTTAAAGTTTTGACTTTTATTTATTCTTTATGTGTAGATGAGAGGTTTTGTCAACGTTTTATTGAATGCACTCCATATGTAGTCTAAAATACGCATTGTAACGTTACTGTAAAGGACCGTGAATCAAAAGTTCAATCGTGTTTTGATATTTCATGGTATCTTAAACTAAATGTTAAGTAAAAAAGTGTTCTGTGTTTTCAGGAGTGAGAGAATAACCTCCTGCTACAGAAAATATAACTCAAGATTCCTAAATTTCTGAAGGGAGCTGATCACAGAGATGCAGGAAAGACAGGTAACTTTAAGCATAGGATTAATTCATATGAATTTCCATTGCACATCATTATGCACATGTTACATGTCTATATATTATGCATCTGTTACTTGTCTTTATTGCAGTTGTTTTAAGAAAGTTTTGACATTGAAACATGTTAGTGGTATTAAATTTCACATCACATGATTCTTCAGAACTTAATAAATATATAGATTTGCTGCTAATGAAGTAATATTTGTGATTTTCATTTTGTTTAATTTTTTATGATTAATTGATTTATTAAATCTTAGAAAAAAGTTTACACTAAATTATTTGTCATCACATCTGTTTTTAGCATTGATAGCAATCCGAAATGTTTCTTGAGCAGCAAATCAGCACCATTTGATAATCACCATTATATTAGTTCAACCTCAAGCACTAAATCAACATCTTAAAAAAAGATTTCTGAAAGATCAAGTGACACTGAAGACTTGAGTAATGATGCTGAAAATTTAGCTTTACATCATAGCTATGAATTACATGTATAATTATTTACACCGTTCACCCATCCCTTACACCTTAACTCATCCTCAAACAAGTCAATTTAAGCCCTAAATGAATAAACTTTGATTTGTACAGGCATGATATGCAACTTGTATTCAGTCGTTTTGTTTTTTCTTTCTTTTGCTTTTGTTTTCCACATCAACTGAAAAGGAGGTCTTAGTTTAACCTAAGTGCCGTGTTGCTGATGAACATCTTTATATGTAAGTATATTTTTGACTGACTGCCAGACACTTGTCAAACAGTGATGAGCAAACGAATGGCCGTTCTTTTAAAAAGATCAGGGAGATGCAAGTCTGGAGATTAATATACATTTTAATTCAAAATTGATTTATCTGGAAATATTTCATAATGTTTTGAGATATGTGCCCTATATGCATTTAGATGTCCATGCATGTTTAAAATACTTTTAAATTTAACAATGGCTGCAAGTTATAAAAACATAAACAAACACAAAAATGTTAAAGTAAATTGAGAAAACATTTTCATCAGTTTGACAACAGGTAGATCAGCTCCTGACAGACATGTTAACAGATCAGTTTAACTCTTATTAAATTCATTCATTCATTCATTCATTCATTCATTTTCTTTTCTGCTTAGTCCCTTTATTAATCTGGGGTCACCACAGCGGAATGAACTGTCAACTTATCCAGCATATGTTTTACGCAGTGGATGCCCTTCCAGCTGCAAGCCATCACTGGGAAACAACCATATACGCTTGTTCTCACTCATACACTACAGACAATTTAGCCTACCCAATTCACCTGTTCCCCATGTCTTTGGACTTGTAGGCAAAACCGGAGAACCCAGAGAAAACCCACCAAACGCAGAGAGAATTTGCAAACTACACACAGAAATGCCTGCTGATCCAGCTGCGGCTCGAGTCAGCATCCTTGCTGTAAGGCGACAGCACTACCTATTGTGCCACCACGTCACGCTCTTATTAAATTATATTTATATAATTTTGTGTTTCAGTACATGCTATTTTGGGAAGACAAAATATATTCATAAGCTCTCAGAAAATTCAATAAGAGAATTCATTCATTCATTTTAAGAGAATTAACTGCACAATTACTTGAAATGTGTGGGATTACATTATTTGTTAACCCAAAGTGAGTTTCTCTTTCTTTGCAGTATTGGATGCCTGATTGCAGTTCAACTCCAAACTCAGTTGGACCAGCTGATCAGTGTCTTCAGTATTACCACAAGCTACTGGGCAGATGTGTGGACAGCTATGAGCCAAACTTGGGACGTTTGGTTTTTAGGTAATACCAGTGACAAAGTATTCAGTAAATTGCTTATAATAAAAGATGCTCACTGCTTACCCCCTTATAGTTAAGTTGTTTGCAGTTTCATTGTTGTAAAAATACCATACTTTTTCCTTTTTTTATAAGCAGGTGTGACTGTCTGGGCAGCAGAAACAAAACAACTAATCATAGTTGAGTTGAGATTAGTATTATTAACTTGACTAGTTTGGTTGCAGACTTGTTCAATACTTAACAATTTGTATAAGTTACAAGATCAATGGTCCTGCTATCAATGTTTGTGTAACTTAAATTCATTACAGTTTAGATACAATCAAATGTCCAAACCATCTCTGAGTGAATGACATCAAGGAAACAGGATCAAAAAGATCATTCATTATAGAATGTTTCATAGGTAACAGCACATCCTTTGTGAAAAATAATTTATTTTTGTGCCATCATTACAAGACAAAATACATTTCAACTGATTTCAGTTGGTTATATTTTTCAGGTCCTCCTGATCATTCTGTTCTCCTGGTTGTGAGGATGTGCAGAGGCTGTATTTGTCAGTGTTAAAAGACTTGTGCAGCTGTATCCAGACATACAAGCAGCCGACAAAGAGTTCTGGAGCAGGACAGACAGGTAGTTCACAGTGGCTAGGCTAGAAGTTTATACTTGGGTGGCCAGAAAGTGGCCTCCGCTATTTTGGGGGGTCCATACAAATACACCAGTGTAAGCTATACTATTGCACAGAAAAAATTAAATGAAAGAATTAATTAATCGGTTGAACACAAAATATTTTAAAGAAAGCTTAAGTATCAAGGTGGCAATATACAGTATGTTACATTGTAGTACATGAGCTGGCTAATACAGATTCGTAAATGTTTAGTTGTTAAGATTAGTTAAATACTATATCCTCTACTTGAGACCTGTTGCATAT